TGATCCACCCTGAGCTTTGCTTTGCTTTGCTTGACCGGTCTTGTGACCCCTTGTTCTCCCCCACTTTGCCTATGGGGGTGTGTCAGAACATTTAAGCTTATGCTCTTGTGTAGGCTATAGTGGGGTATCCCATAGGGGGTACAACCCAATTAGGGTTGGTACTTGTACTCACACATTTCATAGTTCATTCATTCACGTTCCTATTCTCACACTAGCTGTAGTGTAGTCATACATTTGTTCTTGCTTGGTGATGCACCCTTCCTGAACTATAACTTGTACTTGTTTCTCATATTGCATCACTATCGACCTCCTCCCTTGCCACAACCTTCTTGACTTTCACTTGGTCTAGGCTACTAAGCCTAGGCCCTACCTAAAACTTAACTACCACTTATGCTCCTATCTTAACACGCCGGTCAAGTAACAGCGCAACACTTTGAATGCGTGCACGATCGCAAGCATTTCGCGGTCGTGTATCGGGTAATTTTTCTCGGGCGGATGCAGTTTTCGTGATTCGTATGCGATGGGCTATAGGCCGTTGCCAAAGTCCTGTAGCAGTACGGCTCTGATGGCGATGTCGCTTGCATTGGTAACTACTTCGAATGGGCGGTGTGGGTCGGCGATGCACAGGACGAGCGGCGAACAGAGAACATTTTTCAGGGCAGAAAAGGCAGCATGCTCTTTCTCCCCAAACGTAAAAACGACCCCCTTCCGTAACAAGTCCGTCAGCGGCGCTGTTAACTGTGCCATGTCGGGGACGAACCGACGCACGTAATTGACGAGCCCCAAAAAGCTCTGTAGTTCCGTGATATTCGTCGGGGGGTGCTAGGCTTTCACCGTGTCTAACTTCTTTGGGTCAATTTCAACCCCAGCCTCCGAAATAACGTGGCCCAAAAATTCTAGCCGGGCCTGAAAAAACTCGCATTTGGAACCCTTTGTCAGTAACCGATGCTCGTCTAAAATCTTAAACACTGCTTCCAGATCTGCTAAGTGCTGCTGCTTGTCGCGACTATAGACGAGGATGTCGTCGAGGTAAAGTATCACGCATTTATCTAAAGGTGGCCTAAATGCCTCGTTCATGGTCATCTGAAATGTCGTTGGTGCGTTCTGAAAGGCATTACCGTGTGCTCGAATGACCCGTACCTAGTCCGGAAAGCTGTTTTGGCGCAGTCCGATGGTTCGACCCTAATCTGATGGTGACCTCCGCGTAAATCTATTTTCGGAAAAAAACCTGTGTTGTTCGCAGTTGGTTGATTAGTTCGTCGGCGCGTGGAATGGGGTACCGCGATTTGACTATTGCCCTGTTGAGCGCTCGGTAATCGATGCACATGCGAAACCCTCCATCTTTTTTTGGCGTGAACAGTATCGGTGCGGCGAACGATTACGAGCTCGGTCGGATGAATTTCTTCTCGAATAAGTAATCTAACTGCTTCCTCAGTTCGTTGAGCTCGGGTTGTGTCAGTCTGAACTGGCGCTGTACAGTTGGCTGTGCCCCCGGTTCTAATTCTATTCGGTGGTCATGTGCTTGCTAAGGTGGCAGCCCTTTCGGTAAGTCGTCGGGAAAAATCCCGGGGTATCGTTTCAACAATTCCTGTAGTTCGGGCGGTACCGTTGCCAGCTGTTTCTTGAAATCATTCGGCTGCTCTGCTCCCTCTACCACCGCAATGTCTACTGCGTACACGTCAGCTCCAGCAACGACAGCCCGTTTCATGGTGACGGCATTGACGTGTACCGTTGAAGACTCGGGCGACTGCCAGCGAGGTAGCTCAACCCAGTTACCGCTACTTCGCAAAGTGCATCTACCCATCATCCAGTCAATTCGCGGGTTATACCGTCGCACCCAATCACGTCCCAGTAAAATATCGTGCCCATCTAGTGTCGTTGCGAGCCTTTCCTGTGTAAACCCGAAATTTCCCCCACAACGGACTTTGACTCTCTCCAACCTTTCCCATATGGCCAGTGGTGTGCCGTCGACTAAGCGTGCGTCTATCCCAGGTAAACAACGGCTAAGTGTCAGTTGCAGTTTTCGTGCGGTTGTGGTATTAACTAAACTGTGACTTGCTCCTCCGTCGATAAAAATCTTCACTTCTGCTCCCTGTATTTTCCCGTGGATCAGTTTTGGGCAATCCGTCGCTGTACCCTCCTTATTCGTCCGAGTCCGATCGATAGCATGAATCAAAACTATGACTCGGTGAGGGTCGGTGGGGTTGGGCGAGCAGGCAGTCTCGTCAGTAGTTGGCCCGATTCCTACTGACTGCTGGCGTTTCCCTGCCTTGAAGACTCCCTCCCCTGCTCTGCTCCGCGGCGCCTCAACTCCTTTGGGCATTCACTCTTGCGATGGCCCGGCCTATTGCAAGCAAAGCAGCGCCCTTTAAACGGCGCGGCAGCTGCATTTGTCGCAATGGCATGTACGGTGGCATGCTCGATCGGTCCCTGAGGACGATGTCAGTTGTAGGACCCCGGTCTCGGACGGCGTAAAATGTCAATTTTCTCGGCGAGCGCGAGAATCTCGTTGAAGTTCGAGAGCCCACGTAGCATGATCCCGAGCGAGATGTCCGGCTTCAGCCCTCCGACGTAACGGTCCACCCGCTCCGCTTCGTGCATGTAGTCGACTTGCTCGCATAATTTGAGAAAACCACTCGTGTAGTCTTGAACCGACCCGAGCTGCCGCCAAGTACGCAGTCTCTGACGCGCCGAAATAGAAGCCGCGATTGGCTCGAAGCGCGCCCGAAGCCCTGCGCACCATGCATCCCACGTGCTGTACTGGGCGGTTTCGCAGAATGAACTCCAGGTGACAGCTTGACCCGTGGGCCCTTCCTCTTGCAACGGTGGCTCGTAGGCGTGTGGCGACGTCACGATGATTCGCCACCAGTCCATGGCGGGGCCCCTCAGCAGCGAGACGGCATAACGGATCTTCGGTGCGTCCGACTCGACGTAATTCGCGTCGAAGAAGACGTTCATCGTGAAGACCCACGCTTGAACCGTCGGACCTCCATGCTGGCTCTGGTCGAAGCAGGGCGGGCGTTGCGGCTTGAGTGGCATTGGTCCCATAATGGCCTGTTCGCCACTTGTCGCCACGAACTCCACATACCGACGGGCTTCACGAGGCACCCGCGGGCTTGGTGCGACCCTGTTTCCCCCCATGCTAGGCATCGGTTGGGCGGCGCCATCACTGGCTGCACTTGAGCGCTGTCCCACGATGTCGTGTTGTGTTGGTGTGCCGGACGAAATGACACTCGGCTCGTCCGATTGTGCAGATGCATTTGTCGGTGGATGTGGTGGCGCTGGAGTATTCACCGTGGATTGCCGATGTGCGGAGTCACGTTCCGCCGTGAGCGTCGCGATTTCGAGCGCCGATTCTTCAACTTGGCGCACCAGACGGTCAAGTTGGTCCTGCGTCAACGTCGCGAGCGTGAATTCGGCCATGGCGGGGGTGTCGGGCAAGCTCAGCGAGAGCCTCTGTCGTGGCCGTGCGTGCTTACGAGAGAGCACTACGAGCGGCGGTGCTGTGTCGCTGGGAGACGTCTTACCCCCCCCAAAAAATTGAGACAGTGGGGAAGCAAAGGTGTGGGTGCGGTCTGAGAAGAGATTGTAGGCTCTAAATACCGAGTGTTATAAGTGCAATTGAGTGATTGAGCGAGGATTGCACTATCGAAGCAAGAGTACAATGAGCGAAGGCATGAGCGAAGAATATATAGCGAAACTACCGTGGTAACGGTAATGAACTGTGGTTGTCGCGTGATGGGCTTGGGACTGAGGTTTGGGAAAATGTCGAAGCGGAGGCCTGGAGCGCAGGTTACCCGCTGAGCCGTGAGGTCGGGGTGCGACGCGCGAAAGTGGCGGGAGGATTGTCGGTGCGAGGGTTTGCGAGTGGTAACGGTGCTGACTGTGGTGCTACAGTGGTGTACTCGCCGAGCGGGGACGCGAAGTAAGGAAAAAGAATTTTCCTTACATAACTTTCAGAAAATATTTCTTCCAGGAGGTATTAACAATTTGGTCGGTCGTCCTGAACTCGATTTAGTCACACACCGCATCAGCGCCTCGGTCTGAACCCGAAATGCGACTCGAGATTCACCACGCACCCACTCACCAGATTCCAAATTGGCACGGCTAATTTTTCCTGCAGCTCAGTGCATTCTGGTGGGCTGCAAAACGTTTTGTTTTGAATCTAAAGCGGTTAAGCAATTCTTGCAGCAGGCCAATTTTGCTACATCGACGGCTCTCCTCCATCCTCCGCCTTCTCATAGGTGCATCGGTGGACGGTAGGGCGAGGATGCCAGTCAGATAAAAGTCGTGCTTTGCAGTCGTGCTTCGCATGCGACCGATTCCCCCCATCTCAATGCTCCACCTCTGTCCTGACTTGTAGGCTGTAGCGCCCTCTCTCCGCTCACTTCCTTCCGCTCCCGTGTTCCTGACTTCCCACAATAAGTCCGTGCCCTCGCTCCTCGCCACCAGCCCGTGTTTCATGGCCATCGTCTCATCCTTCGCCTCTTCCTTGACTGAAGTTGGTCTAGAACTTAGCATGTGATTGGTCAGATCGGTTGGTTGGCACGTCCCACAGCCCGCAATCTCAGTTAGCGCTGACAGGAGGTTCTTAGAGCTTATCGTCCGAGCTGTAGACGCGCCTCGACATGTACGCGGTGTGACTAATATAAATATTCTGATCAGACTCGGAAGTTGCTCGGTTGTCGCGCTACGCTGCAAGTTGCCAATCAAGTACCGTCACGTGGCCGCTGAAGCTCCACGTGGCTCGTTAGCTACACCTCGATACGATGGCCCGTCGTGCACACGTTCTATTGTCAACGGCACTGTTACAGATGCTGCTGTCGGTTACATTGTTACAGCTGCGAGCGTCGCCAACGTCAGCGGCGTCCTCAGCCGATCTAGCCACAGCGACGGGGTTTACCACAGCCGGCGGGGTTACCGCAGCTGGCGGGGTTGCAACCACAACCAATAGGGTTACCACAGCTTCCGAAAAGAAACCGGCTGGTAACCGATGTGATATGCTCGCCGGCCGGTAAGCTGCTACCGCCTCATTCGTTCCCCCCCGCCTCGTTACACCTGCTATCTGTTCACTCTATATCGCGCTCTTCCCCCTCTGGCGTTCGGCTGGGTTCGTACCCGCTTCCGGCCGCGGTACCCACACGGCTGGGTCTTGCATTGCACACCTCCCAGCTAAATGCGAACTTACTTCCGAACACATGGGGCGCCTCCCGTCTCTTTATTTCCTCCTCTTTCCCCATTCACCTTTCCGTTTCCTCGTTCTCATTCATTTCATCGTATCCTCTTCGACTTCCCCCCCCTGCCCAATGCACCCTCCACCTCTTCTCGCCCCCGTCCCCCACCGCATTGCACCCCTCCCAGCTGGATGCGAACCCACTTTCAGCCGCGGCGCTACACGGGTCTCAGCTGCAAGAGCATCGATACGCATTACAACTGCGAGAAGAACGGGCGCCCCAACCTCAAATACCTCGATTACGAGTGGCGCATCCCCGGCTGTAGCCTCAAGCGGTGAGTCAATGTCAGCTGCAGGAGCGTCGACCCTTGCTACAGCTGTGAGAAGAACGGGCGCCCCAACCTCAAATACCTCGATTACGAGTGGCGCATCCCCGGCTGTAGCATCAAGCGGTGAGTCAATCCTGGCTGTAGCACGTCAATCCCGGCTGTAGGAACGTCGACACGTGCTACAGCGGTGGGAACGGGCGGGGCAACCTCAAGTATCTGGACTACGAGTGGCGTATTCCCGGCTGTAGCATCAAGCGGTGAGTCAATCCCGGCTGTAGCATCAAGCGGTGAGTCAATCCCGGCTGTAGCATCAAGCGGTAAGCCAATACCGGCTGTAGCATCAAGCGATTATTCGCCTCCTGCTGTCGCCCACCGCAATTCACCGTTATTCATCCCGTTATTTCCTCCACCCACTTTTACAGCCCCCCTACACTGCCAGCTTCGGCCCCTCGGCCTTCCTCGCGCGCAACAAGGTCTGCATGATCGTGGGGGACTCGCACGCCCTCCTTCCCCCCACTCCCCATTTCTTCCAACCAGCTTTCCCGCCTCATCATCCCTCGTCCCTCATCCCACTTTCCCCCCACCAGCTTCGACAAGTCGCCCTTCCTCGCTCTGATGCGCAACAAGGTGTTCATGATCGTCGGGGACTCGTACGCACTCTTTCCGCCCACTCCCCCCTTTCTGATGCGCAACACCACCCATTCCTCACCAGCTTCGACCCTGCGGCCTTCCTCGCGCTGATGCGAAACAAGGTGTTTATGATCGTCGGGGACTCGTACGCGCTCAACCTGCACGCGTCCTTCCGATGCCTCATCGAGTCCGTCGCGGTCACTCAGGTGCGATGCAGGTTACTAGTAGCCTTACGCTTGCAGCCGTGGCTCACTCGTACGCGCTCAACCTGCACGCGTCAATCCGATGCCTCATCGAGTCCGTTGCAGTGGCGCAGGTGAGATGCTACCTGCCCTACAATGGTGGTGGTTACAACAGTGGTTACCCTACGATGGCAGCTATAGCGGCACACTCCTACGCCCCCCACCTGCACGCATCCATCCAGTCCGGTGCCTCATCGAGTCCGTCGCAGTGACGCAGGTGAGATGCGACCTACCCTACAATGCCGTGTGCAGTATTTCGATGGTAATATCTTCTCCAGGCATGCCGTGCCCCTCCCTCTCCCCACGCCCCTCCCTCTCCCCACGCCCATCCCTCTCCCCACGCCCCTCCCTCTCCCCACGCCCCTCCCTCTCCCCACGCCCCTCCCTCTCCCCACGCCCCTCCCTCTCCCCACGCCCCTTTCTCAAACCATACCACGCCACACCATGCTATCTGCAGAGCCTCGAGGGGAATCTCTTCAACACGGGCGTGCCCGCAAACGGCTTCAGAGTGCCGTCCCACAATGCCACCACCATCCGCACGGTTTCCCCCACCTCACTCACTCCCTTACCTCATCCTACCTGGCCCCACATTGTCTACATGCACTGCAGAACTTCAATGGGAGCCTATTCAAACCTGGGGTGCCTGCGAGGCAATTCAGAGTGCTGTCCCACAAAGCCACCATCATCCGCGTTGCGCTCTTCACCAAACCATGCCCTTTCTTCACCCCACTCACGCCCTTCCTTCCCCCCACACCTCTCGCCGTGCGCAGAACTTCAATGGGACTCTGTTCAAGACGGGCGTGCCGGCAAGGGGCTTCAGAGTGCCGTCGCACAATGCCACCATCATCCGCATTGCTTCCGCCTTCCTCCTGTACGGCGAACCTGACGTGCGTATCCAGATAAGCCACGTGTTTGAAGAACCTGACGTGCGTATCCAGATAAGCCACGTGTTTGAAGAAGTGTTTTGAGACGTCTCAAAACACTTCTGTACGGCGAACCTGACGTGCGTATCCAGATAAGCATGCATGGATGGAGCCTGCACCAGATAAGCATGCATGGATGGAGCATGCACCAGATAAGCATGCATGGATGGAGCATGCACCAGATAAGCATGCATGGATGGAGCATGCACCAGATAAGCATGCATGGATGGAGCATGCACTAGATAAGCATGCATGGATGGAGCATGCACCAGATAAGCATGCATGGATGGAGCATGCACCAGATAAGCATGCATGGATGGAGCCTGCACCAGATAAGCATGCATGGATGGAGCATGCACCAGATAAGCATGCATGGATGGAGCATGCACCAGATAAGCATGCATGGATGGAGCATGCACCAGATAAGCATGCATGGATGGAGCATGCACCAGATAAGCATGCATGGATGGAGCATGCACCAGATAAGCATGCATGGATGGAGCATGCACCAGATAAGCATGCATGGATGGAGCCTGCACCAGATAAGCATGCATGGATGGAGCATGCACCAGATAAGCATGCATGGATGGAGCATGCACCAGATAAGCATGCATGGATGGAGCATGCACCAGATAAGCATGCATGGATGGAGCATGCATACCAGATAAGCATGCATGGATGGAGCATGCACCAGATAAGCATGCATGGATGGAGCATGCACCAGATAAGCATGCATGGATGGAGCATGCACCAGATAAGCATGCATGGATGGAGCCTGCACCAGATAAGCATGCATGGATGGAGCATGCACCAGATAAGCATGCATGGATGGAGCATGCACCAGATAAGCATGCATGGATGGAGCATGCACCAGATAAGCATGCATGGATGGAGCATGCATCAGATAAGCATGCATGGATGGAGCATGCACCAGATAAGCATGCATGGATGGAGCATGCACCAGATAAGCATGCATGGATGGAGCATGCACCAGATAAGCATGCATGGATGGAGCATGCACCAGATAAGCATGCATGGATGGAGCATGCACCAGATAAGCATGCATGGATGGAGCATGCACCAGATAAGCATGCATGGATGGAGCATGCATACCAGATAAGCATGCATACCAGATAAACATGCATGGATGGAGCATGGCTGTACTGTGTGAGTGAACGTGAACCTGATGTGTGCACCGAGATAAGAACATGCAATGCAAAGCGTGCTGCATGTGAGTGTGCAGCGCAGCAAACCTGATGTGAGTACCCAGATATACACATGTGAAGTGTGACGTGTGTGTGTGACAGTATCGATGCATGCACTATACTACGCGAGACATTTACTGTGTGACTGTACAGTGCGTGTTGCAAAAACATGTGGAATGCAGCACAATACATGTAGTAAGTGACAGTAAGGCAAACCAGATGTGCAAGCATTCAAAAACCTATACCTATCCTCCACAGTTTATGTTGTTATTTCATCTCTCCCTCTATCTAACTTTCTCTATATTTGTCATCTCTCTGTCTTTCTCATTGCTCAGGGCGAGCGCAGTGTGAGGAGCATGTGGACGGACAGGTATGGTTGTGCAGGTGTGTGACGCTATGGCTGAATTGGGTGAACCTGTTGTTGTCTATAATGTCATCCCTTTTTTTTCTATCATGCTATTCCCCCTCCACCCCTTTTCAACCCTGTTCGGTGGCGCAGGGAGAAAGGAGTGTGAAGAGCACGTGGACGGTATGGCTGGATCGGGTCAACCCCGAATGGGCGGATCTGCTGCCATTCACCGACTATGTGGTCATGAGCACCGGCTACTGGTACACCAGTGTACGTTGGGCTGGTTGGCATGTTTTGATTGATGTGATAGGCACAAGCTGGTACATGATTGATGTGTTAGGCACAGGCTGGTACACCAGTGTACACCAGCGTATGTTACTCTCAATGAGTCAATTTTTATCAAGCACTGGCTATTGGTACACCAGTGTATGCTACTCTGAACTGAGTCAGCTTATAATGAGCACTCGGTACTGCCACCCTCTTCTGCCCCCACCACCCTCCATCGGTCCATCCTCTGTTGTCTCTGCACCCCTCCATCTTAGATTCCGCTTAAAGCCCTGGGTGGGAGCACAAGCAGCACCATTTCTTTAGCAGCAGGAACTCCATTCCAAGCTATCTTGTCATCCAAGCTTCGGGGGGGAAAAGTGGCACTGTCTTGTCTTGTTGGCACAAGCGCCATTCTTACTTCAGCAACAGCACCACTCAGCTCTCTTGTTTCGCTGTTCATCCCTCCCTTGCTTTGCCTGCAGGCACGGGAGGAGAAGCGCCACTATTACTTGAGCAACAGCACCACGCAGCTCGCTTGGAACCCTGACCAGCTCATCACCATGCAAACCGCTCTAACCACCCTCATCACCCATTTCAACCGCCTTAAATACCGCGGCCTCCCCATGTTCCTCTCCTTCACCTCCTCCCACTACGGATTCGAGCTCGCGGGCACGGAGGCGGCTAGAGGGGCACAGTATAATTGCACGGACGCGTGGCGGCCAATCGGATGGCGCCAGGTGTCGCAGAGGGAATGGGCAGTTGAAGACATGCGGACGCGGAATGCGCAAGTGCAGGTGGGAAAATGGGCCCGAGGTGATGCTTTTCTGGTGAAGGGAATGTAGGTGTGGGATCGTCAGTGTGTATGATTTTGTCCTTGTGCGCGTGTGTGCGTGTGTGTGTTTTCATGTATGTGTGCGTGCGTGTACCTACGTTGTGTTTATTTTCCTGCGTGCGCCTGTCTAACAAAGAAGCAGCTACAATGGCGGGTATGGAATTGACCTTTCTGAGAAGTCTGCACAGGTTCATTAGGCATAAGTTTTATGAATTCCTGTTGTTCCATTCCAACCATGTATTGGTGCTTGCAGATTCTACGCAAAGCGAAGAACTTCAAGGTTCTGGACATCACATATTCCACGCTCTTCCGCCCTGATGCTCATCTCAAAAACCACAATAAAGGGGATGGCGGATTTGACTGCGCCCATTGGTGCATCCCTGGTGTACCTGACATGTGGTCTGATCTCATCTACAACTTTGTTATGAATAACAAGAAATAAATCAAATTACAGTGACCGGAAACCTCTATTTTTTAAGATACATTACCTTCAATATACCGTATTTACCTGCCTAAGTACTGTGTTATCTATATGTATTCCATAACATGAGAATAAAGAATATCAGACCATGTATCTGGTATGCCAGGTAGGCACCAATGCAGGCAATCAACACCCTTGGGACTTTCACAGTGGTTCTGAAGGTGCCCGTCTGGCCGAAAAACAGAGAGTGGGGTCACATCAACCACTCTGAACTCCTCATATTGCTGCACAACCTGCAACACAAGCAGCATCAGATACGGTGTACACATTACAGAGATGCGCAAATCCACAGTATGTACTGCGCGCTTGCTGGGAGCCTCCAAGGCACCGACAGCATGCATCCTGTCCTGTGCAGAACCAGCAGGGAGCTTGAGCCTGATCGTCCCCATCATTCACACTTGGCACCCTACTATACTCATCCTGATTGTGTATGTTGCGCCTCCAATGCATATGTAGCCCCTGGGTTACAGATGCAGTTATACCCAGCCGCAGGCAAAGAAATGTGCTACAGCACGCTACAGCTCACCAATTCGCCTCAATCTGCGTGTTTCGAGCCTCTGGATGCCTGTAGTGCACAGCGCTGCGGCTGCAGCTGTAGCTGCCACAGCACCCGGCTTCAGAGGCTGCATGTCCGCGCTACAGCCGGAAGTGACTTAAACCTAGAATAAAACCCAGCATTCATTCATCGCTCACCCCACCACCCACATCACCTCCTAGACCTCACCTCTATCTGTGCGTTCCGAGCGTCCATCGCATCTGTAGCTCACCACGCCCCTTCCAGAACCTCCAGCCCCACCGGCCGCATGTAGGAGCAACAACCTATTCCATCCCAGCCCCTCAGCACCGCTCCAAACCCACCTCTATCTGTGCGTTCCGAGCGTCCATCGCATCTGCAGCCCACTGTGCCCCTTCCAGAGCCTCCACCCCCACGGGGCGCATGTAGGAGCTACAGCCGAGCTCGCGAGCCGTGCTGTTGAGTCTCACTTTCTCGTGCACGGGCGAGTAGGTGAGCAGCATGGGCACCCCCGTGTAGTTGATGCTGCGCGTGAAACGTGCGACTGTGTGCAGGGCGGTTTGCATGGTGGCCATGCGGTTCTCGCTTGGCTGCTCCTTATTGTCCACCATGTAGTGCCGCTTCTTGAGGTTGGCCTGGAGAGGGGAGGTGGGAGGGAACAGGGAAGAGTTGGGGTGACGGACTTTCAAGGCTCCTGAAAAGGCTTGGCTGCTCCTTGTTGCCCACCATGTAGTGCCGCTTCTTGAGGTCGGCCTGGAGAGGGGAGGTCGGGGGCGGATGAAGAATAATGTTGAAGGGTGGAAGACAGATGAGTGCTCGCGCATTTACATAGCTGCGGAGCACTTGAGGTTGGCCTGGAGGGGGGTGATGGGGCGGAGGTGAGGTGAGGAGCAGGGGTGCAGGGCTTCTGAGACATCTGAAACGGCTTGGCGGCACTTTGTTGCCCCCCTGTAGTGCCACTTCTTGAGATTGGCCCGGAGGGGGAGGTGCGGAAAAGAGGGGAGGAAGAATTGGGTTGAAGGGTTGAGGGGAGATGACTGTATGGAGGGCAGTTTGCATGGTGACTATGCGGTCCTGGCTTGGCTCGGCTACATAAATATCAATTATGCAACCTGTAGCACTATATTTTAGGGCGTATTGAACTCACAATGGTGTACCAAGCTCCGGTCCCAAAGACCACATAGTCGGAGTATGGAAGCACAGGCGACCAATTAGGATGCACCTGGTCCAGATGCACCGTCCATGTGCTCGCCGTGGTCCTATCGCCCTGTTGAGGCAGAGGAGGGAGAGGGGAGAGTGGAGAGGGGAGAGTGGAGAGGGGAGAGTGGAGAGGGGTGAGTGGAGAGGGGAGAGTGGAGAGGGGAGAGTGGAGAGGGGAGAGTGGAGAGGGGAGAGTGGAGAGGGGAGAGTGGAGAGGGGAGAGTGGAGAGGGGTGAGTGGAGAGGGGAGAGTGGAGAGGGGTGAGTGGAGAGGGGAGAGTGGAGAGGGGAGAGTGGAGAGGGGAGAGTGGAGAGGGGTGAGTGGAGAGGGGAGAATGGAGAGGGGAGAGTGGAGAGGGGAGAGTGGAGAGGGGTGAGTGGAGAGGGGAGAGTGGAGAGGGGAGAGTGGAGAGGGGTGAGGGGAAGGGAAGGTTGCAGAGGAGCATGGAGTGAGCAACAGGAGCAGTACAGGTGCACCGTCCACGGGCTGGCTGTGGTCCTATCACGCTGGTGTGGCAGAGGAGAGAGGGGAGAGGGGAGAGGGGAGAGGGGAGAGGGGAGAGGGGAGAGGGGAGAGGGGAGAGGGGAGAGGGGAGAGGGGAGAGGGGAGAGGGGAGAGGGAAGAAGGGAGAGGGGAGAGGGGAAAGGGAGAGGGGGGGAGGGGAGAGGGGAGATTGGAGGAGTCACAGGTACAGGATCACAGGGTTGAACACAGGGGAGGTAATGCGATCCAAATGCACCCGGGTCAGATGCGTCATCCTTGTGCTTGCAGTGGACTTGTTGCCCTGGTGAGGCAGATGGGAGGAGGCACCAGACAATAGGGTTGAGCAGCAGGTGGTATCCAGATGCGCCTGATCCAGATGCGCCTGATCCAGATGCGCCTGATCCAGATGTGCCTGATCCAGATGCGTTTGATCCAGATGCGCCTGATCCAGATGCGCCTGATCCAGATGCGCCTGATCCAGATGCGCCTGATCCAGATGCGTTTGATCCAGATGCGCCTGATCCAGATGCGTTTGATCCAGATGCGCCTGATCCAGATGCGCCTGATCCAGATGCGCCTGATCCAGATGCGCCTGATCCAGATGCGTTTGATCCAGATGCGCCTGATCCAGATGCGTCTGATCCAGATGCGCCTGATCCAGATGTGTTTGATCCAGATGCGCCTGATCCAGATGCGCCTGATCCAGATGCGTTTGATCCAGATGCACCTGATCCAGATGCGCCTGATCCAGATGCGTTTGATCCAGATGCGCCTGATCCAGATGCGCCTGATCCAGATGCGCCTGATCCAGGTGCGCCTGATCCAGATGCGTTTGATCCAGATGCGCCTGATCCAGATGCGTTTGATCCAGATGCGTCTGATCCAGATGCGCCTGATCCAGATGTGTTTGATCCAGATGCGCCTGACCCAGATGCGCCTGATCCAGATGCACCTGATCCAGATGCGCCTAATCCAGATGCACCTGATCCAGATGCACCTGATCCAGATGCGCCTGATCCAGATGCGCCTGATCTAGATGCACCGTCCAGGTGCTTGCAATGGCATTGGCTCAGAGCCTTGGTTGCAAGAGGGAAGGGAGAGCACGCAGGACGATATGTTAGACTAAAAGATGCCACCATGACGCGAGTAGTGATTCATATTTGCGAGTAAAACTGAACGAGAAAAGGCAAGGCGTGAAAGCTGACTCAACTCGACTCGACTCACGAGAGCCGTTACACTTGGACAAGAATCGAATGCGAGTCAAGTACTGTGTTGCTCACTTTCAGCTATACATGTCAACATGGCTTGCCTGGCAACATGGCTTGCCTGGCAGCATGGCTTCCCTGGCAGCATGGCTTGCCTGGCAGCATGGCTTGCTTGGCAGCACCTAAGGCTTACACTGAGAATAGATGGGTCGAGGAACAAGGAGGCATGTTCTAAGATGCATCATAAGTCGAATACGGTGCATATCACTCTCAGGTAAACATGGCAGGATAGGCTGGCAGCAGCAGGGGCTTACTCTGGGAATAAACTGGACGAGGAGGGAGGAGTCGTGTTTTGAGATTTAACAAAGGTTGAATACGGTGCGCCTCACTACCAGGTACACATGGCAGAATGGATTGACAGCAGCAGAGGCTTACACTGGGAGTAGATTGGACGAGGAAGGAGGAGGCGTGGCTTAGGAAGGTGGCATTGAATTGCGGTGCAATCAAGGCGCGAGTTCTTGGCCCTCCTGGGAACAGCGGGCCATCCCTGCTCTGTCCATGGGGGTTGGGAGGGCAGGCGGGTAAAACCAGGACGAGTGTGGAGGAAGGGAAGTGAGCATTGAGGTGTGGTGCAATCACAGCATAAGTGTTTGGTCCTCCTGAGAACAGCGGGCCATCCCTGGACGGGTTGGGAGGGCAGGCAGGTAGAAATATGAGTGTGGAGGAAGGGAAGGTTGCATGAACAGGGGCTGGGAGGGCAAGGGGTGCGGGTATGGGGGCAACGGGGGTTGGGAGGGGAAGGGGTGAGGGTAAGGGGCCAAGGGGGTTTGGGAGAAGAAGAGGTGAGGTTACTGGGGCAACAGGTTTGGGAGGGCAAAGGTGAAAGGAGGGAAGGGGACGTGTCGAGGCAGGGAAGCCTTGAAAATCTGGTGGAAAAAATACAAGGAAGAAACCAGATGCATTCTGCTTTGCAGGCGTTTTTCTGGAAGGCAGATGCGTTGAACCTTGACAGTGTAAGGTCGCATTCCGGGTTGTTACGAACAACCTACTTCGTAACAAGCAACCACATGACGACGCTTCACGACTGTTGATGATCCTTTACTCGCCAATCAGTGTTCTTGATTCTCACCAAACTTGTTTGAAAGTCATTTTTTACGAGTCCGGTATGCGACCTAACACACGTGTTGGAGTGGCTGTCTGGATGAGGCACTGAAGAGTGGCAAGAGCTTCATGAAGAGACACAACTAATATAGCCACGCAGGAAGGCCGATACAATGAATTTGGACAGTGTAACACACCTTGGTCGGAGTGGCTGTCTCGAGGAGGCACTGTAGGGCTCCAAAGAAATTCATGGAGACAGAATCCCCCACGACCAGAAACACCTTGTTGCGCATGTGCTCCAGGAAGGCAGATGCATCGAACCTGGACATGGGGCAATGCAGAAGATGCACCGAAAGGTTCAGGATAATTGGTGCGTTTTGTGGGATATCATATATGCCAGTCATGTTGCAGGTATGTGAAAGCATGAGACCCGTTGCACTCACAAGCATGTTGTGCAA